AACAGCTGAGTATCTCCCTCGAATGTCCTCGTATATGCTTTTAGCCAGTTCCTGTGCATTTCCACCAGCAACATCTCCAACTTCAAGCTCATCATCAGCGTGATAAACTTCTCTTGCTTTAACAGCAACCGCTTGTCTTTGACCGCCAATCATAGGACAGAGCATGACAGCCTGGTTGGTTATTCTACTAGGTGTTGCTTTGTCACAAGTGACATAGTAGTGAGGTGGTAATCGGGTTGATGGTAAAGGTTGGGATAAAAACATAGCTGTTTTGATCACACCACACCTCCATTGCTTTTAACATATCCTGAATAAGTGTAATATGACCAAAATTAGTCTGAGCATGGTTTTAACTTTTATAGCACAAGTTGTGCTGTATTTAACAATTAGTCTTTGCAGTGATATTTTTCCGCTGTATTACCCGAAACTGTTTTCGACTGTGCCCAAACTCTCCAACATCAGAACCAGTAAAAGCATGGGATGCGACCATCGTCTCAAAGTGAAGTGCAGCTGATTTGGTCTTAACAACAGTCAAGGCAATGCCGATTAAATTTTCCATGACAGCAACCCCACGTTTCTTCCTTCTCTTATATTCATAGTCATACTGCAGTAAGGGTTAAACTTTGTTTTAGATACTGAATAAGTAATCAGCTAACATGACTATTACCTGACTTCAATAGCACAATTTAAAAAAAGCTATATCAAGAGAGATGAACAATTTCATAACTTTAACTTTCAAGTGATTATTATATTCTCATATATTCACAGCACCTTTTACTGTACTGTTTCATAAACATAATCTAACCTGCAATGCTTCAAAGTGAAGTTGTCCCCCAGCGTTACATGATTCTTGACAGTGTTTTTGAGCTTGTAAAATTCTCTATTTCCACCTTCCAAAAGCAATTGTGATTTCTCCGAATTAAACCCGTAGGAAGTGATCCAGAATAACTATGAAAAAAATAAATGAGGAAGTGTTAAGGAAATAGAGTTTACAATCTGCTTCATGGTATATGACTATATTATATAATACATTTTAACAGTTCTCCAAATTTAATATTTTCAATCTATTCTTCAATCCTCAGAGGTATTAACACAATAATCCTGGAATATAAATTTTAGAATACACATATTACAACAGTGGTAATATAAGACCATATTTGCAATATACTGTACATTGGAAATTCCTCTTATTTCTACTGATGATCCAGGAAGATTGGCTGAATACTGTGCACATAAAAATATTCTGATATAAACAATGGCTTTGACAATCACCCTCCAAGTCCCTTTCGTGCAACTGCAGCTGGATCCAATGATGTTGCATTTCCTTTTTTACTTTGGATAAATTGAAAACAGGTTTCACAACGGAGCACTGACAAGACTCCCTTTTCTGCATCTCCAGAGAAGAACCTCATATGTTTACATACTTCTACGAGATCCAGAATATTTTTTACTTCAGGCCAATGGACCAAGATATTGGTTATTTCTTCAGCTGATGTGCTATTTATGGACGAGAGTGGTGTACATTGACTTTCCTTTCCTTGTGACACTGACTTAAAGGAGACTTTGAAGTCCTTAAACTCACTTATCAATGTATCAATCTTTGAATGTAATGAAGCATCATTTGATTGACTAGCATATTCATTGATAATTGTCCTGGAATGTCTTGTTAATGTTGCCTGCATCAGTGTCTTGGTTGACCCAGCATTATCACCTTTGTGCGGTATTGGTGGAGCATTGAACGGAACATCAGGAAGGATTCTTGTCTGGAGGCGAGGCGCTGATGCTACAGTGGAACTTTGTTGTGTAGTACTCTGTTCTTGCAATTCTTCTAGACACTTTCGTGCCTTCTTCACACTCTCATCCATATTGTAGAAAGGTTTAATAATAACATCAGAAGATTTTGATTTAGAATGATGCCGTTGAATGTGCCTTTTGGTTGTGGTTTGGTTTTGGCGACAAAGTTTAAACGTTTTTGAATGTTTTCCAGCTCTGCAAAAAGCATGAGTAATTTGAACTTATGGCATCTGTTTTAGTTGGCTGCATTAGATACCATTTCGGTGTATGACCTCTTTCATTATATTCCCTCTACCTTTGTGTTATTGCAGCTAACTCAAAACAAGCATGTTTTGTTATTATGTCAAAACACCAAATTAATTTGAGTAAATATAAATTTTGTTAGAATGGAATACTTACTTAAAGCATGTACACATATTGCCCATTGCTTCTTTTCATCTTTTTCAACTTTAGCAGGCTGAGGTTTCATTATTTTTGGCTTCAACCACCAGGGATCTTCTCCTACACATGAATTTTAATAATTTTATGCACATAATTAGAAACACCATATATAGTGCAACCTTGATTTAGCTAATTGGAAATAAAAGTCAGTTGAAAGGTTTATACATTCATAAATGATATTGCATATTGCACTAGAACACAAATATGTTTTAACATACCTGTTGTAGCTTTACGTTTCACACCAACAGTAGTTTTCAAACTGCTTGCTACTGGTACGTCCAATTCATGAGTCACTAAAATGATATAATTTTAAATTGCAATACATACCATAGATGCATATTATGAAATTAAAAGTGTGCAACAATGTTTTTGGAGTGATCAGTGTCAATGAGTACCGTCTTCACTACCACAGATATTGCAAATGACAGGACTTCCATATCCATCTTCCTGACCAATGGGAACCTTTCCACAAATCGCATGGACAGCCTTCTTACATTTCAGACATTTGTGTGCATTAGAATGTGGTCTGCCACAAACATGACATTTTTCTAAAAATAACCAAGTATGAATTTCAGCTGCACTGGCTGCATGTAAAGTGTAAAGTGTAAACAGTAAAATTAATAAAATTCATGATTATTGATTTAATAAATCTCGTTCTGTTCTGAGTTCTGACTTCTGTTCAGGGTTCACTGTTCAGACTTCACTTAAGTGTTCACAAAATAACAAATAACAATTGTCAAATTGAACAAACATAAATTTACCTTCTTCGACTTCTAGTACTTCTTTCTCTCTGGGTCTGGGAATGTCTGTATCACTTGTGAGTGAGTAATCTGAGTCATCCTGAGAAATCATAAATATGCAAATTATTGTCTATTTATCATATATATTTTATTCATAGATTTTGAATGAGATTCTTGTCCCTGATATAAAATAATCATTCACAAGCAAGGAAAAGAGCTATAGGAACATTTTATTTACTATATATGATTGGATAACAGTTTAAAAACACTCGATGGTTAGGATTAAAAATCGAACTCACCTTTTCATCAGAAACGATATCCGCCATTCTGGCCAAAAGGTTCGAAAGCTCGTTTCCAAAACACCATATTTACATGAAGTATCACAGCCGCTGGACAGAAAACCAGGAGGCAGGAGCAAATATATTTTGCGAGGAGCTGAAAAAATGCAGTAAAGTTGATAATACATTATTATAGTTTACTTTTTAATTCCAAAACGTTGCCATATTTGCGCGCCGCTAATGAATCATGACCGAAAGCTACGCCAAGTGCCCATGCCACGAGCCCACGCCACGCCAGTAAAGTAACACCAGAAATTTGGAAAGTGCTGCACCAAAATTGGCGCAACACAGCCAAACACCACGCCGAATATATTCAGCGCAACCCACCAACTTTCCAGTATGGAATCAAGTGAATCAAACATTTGTTATTTACAGACGCCATTTTGAATATGTACATTTTTTCTACTAGTTCCAGGCTACCCACGTAAGACAATGTCAATGTGGCATAAATTTACTTTTCAAAATACAAAAAATGAGTTTCTTAGCTTTTGTATTAAGTTTTCAATTTCACCTCTACTTCTGAAAAAGAAAATTCGTCTAGTATTTAGAATTCAAGGACTTTCAAGCACTTCTTTTTAAATTCAAGGACTTTCAAGGCCTTGAATCATTTATTTTCAATTCAAGGACTTTCAAGGACTTTCAAGTTTTGTAAGAACCCTGTTCAGAGTTACCTTGATTTTTTTAAAATACTTATGAACACAGTATTCACAATAGTGTCTATAAAGACCCAAGCAATGCCCAATCAACTGCACTATAAAGATAATACATAGGTCATTGCTGTGTTAACAGTTGCACATAAGTAATTACATTAGTATGTGAGTGTGTAGTCTAGGACCTTTTTGAGTTTGTATGTGATTCTTTTACCACAGATAAACTCAACTGTTTTAGGTTAAGAAATTAATGACCATGGTGGTCAACATAACATTTGGACCCTTAAATTTGCAATCAAATGTAATTAATTTTTACGAATTGCAAATTGCTAGTAATGAATTACAATGAGCAACCAGATATAATGTCAGTGGAGAATTTCTGTTGTTTCTCAATTCAATTCAACTCACTACACATAAATCAATGTAGTGACCCTATCCTTTGATGATATTGAGAGAATTTTTATTCATATGGTGTTGCACATTATATGTCTTTGTAAATATTACAGAAAATCAGCCATCAAATTCAACTATTAGTACTCCATCATCAACAAGTACTTTAAAACCCTCACCAAATCTTCCAACGCCAAAATCAACGTTAAGCTATGAGGAATTCAAAAAAAGGAAACAGCTAGCTCGAACAAAGCAAATACAATCAGCAAAAAAAGCAAAAACTAATGATGAAGCGAAAGTTCAAGTTGGTGTTTTAGAAGCTGATGGAGAAAGGTTAAAGAGGCTTAAGGGAAGAACACTTCCATTGGTTATTGCATCAAGTTGCAATGCAGATGGCCTACTCAAGGCAGCGATAGAGAAACATACCAAACACTTTAAACAGTTTAACAAATATGCTGATTACGTTCTTCTTTATCCTGACCATTCTGTGGTCCAGAGTTTGCCAGGCAGTTCTGTAGATTTTGTTCTGAATGAATACAAAAAAGATTTAGGCAAACCATACTCGAAAATCTATTTTTATTTGTGATAAAATAGATTTGGAAAGGGTTAAAGATTTTGCAGATATTGGATCTGATGAGGACATATTGATGCCCAAAGGTGAAAAGAAGGAAATAAAATTGGAAAGTGCCATTAATATAAGTGATGATGATGAGGAAATAAAATATGTTCAAGCTCCCGAAACATCATGCCCCACTTGTTTCAGAATGTTTCCATTTGACAAAATTGAGGCTCATGCAGATATCTGCGTAGATAGTCACATTGACCCTATTGGATATGTATTAGATGATAATTTGGAAGAAATATGGAATGATTCTCCTGAAAAATCTACTGATGGGGATGAGGTTGAGAATACAAGTCCTGACATTATGATGGAAAAAATGAAAGCTCTGGTAGCTGAACTTGCTGAAAATGTCCAGCCTGTCAAAATCAGAATAAGCGTTAGACGAAAGTCGGTGTTTACAGACTATTTGGAAACAGCTAAGAAGCCATGGTTCAATAGTAGTCAGATGCTCAAAGTAACCTTCATTGGCGAACCTGCGGTTGATGATGGTGGGCCTTGTCGTGAGTTTTTTTCAGGTTTGCACAAATAATTAATACCGGAAATGAATTTTTAGTTTATTAGTGACGTTATTTTTGGAGGTTGTGGCTACCTCCTCCGCAGGCCCTTTTGCAGGCGGTGATCTGAACCTGCCCGAAATACCTTAGCGCCTGCAGATGAGGTGGAGGTTGTGGCATAAGGCTTACAGCGGAGGCCAAATACATTAGCAACTTAGTGCCAAAACCCGAATCCAGGGCGAAATCCCTACCATGACAATCGAATGACACTGTTGATGTGGTTCTAAATTCTGAATCACTAGAAAAACAGCTTTTCTGAATAAATTGCTTATATAGCGTGGTTTAAGGGTGGTCATATTGTCATAGGATAAAAACATATGCCCAATTTATTATAATTGTCATAAATTTCATAAGGAATGATATTGTTTTGTTGAGATATAATGCATTTAATTTTACTTGCACCCGTCAGCCGTAGTTTGTGGCTTTGTTTGCCTTTTATCGCCTTTGCCAGGGAAATGAGTAATTTTATGCATAATTAGCATTATGCATAATTTCTTGTGAAATAAGACACCTAGACAAATTTCGCCCCCAATGACTACCCCTAAAAGCAACCATTCTAAACACTATAGGCACTTCAGAAAAGCTATTGCTCTTATGATTCAGGAGCACGTTGCCATTTCTGGGTGTGGCAATTCTCAGGACTTTCGTCCTGGTTTGGGTTTTGGCACATATGCCATGTTGACTGTCATCATAATTTCACCCTATAAAAGAGTTGAGATAATCTGTCCTAATACAAACTGCCATACAGGTCCTAGACTATAAGTTATATGTGTATTTAGAGGTGCTGCAAAGTATTGAACGAGAGCTTTTTGAAAACGGCATGCCATCACCAGACATGACAGCTCTTGGCAGCAACAAATTCAAGTTGGCAGGTGAACTGATGGCTGGCTCTATCGTGCAAGGTGGGCCAGCACCATGTTTTCTTTCAGAGGAAGCTTATGCATATTTGGTTGAAGGTATTTCAAATATTACAACTGATGGGTGGGTGCCTCAAATAAAAGATAAGAAGCTGATAGACGCTATAAGTCAGGTAACAACTTGTAACAACTAATTTCATGCAGTAAAATTTATTTAAGCTACACTCTCTATTACATTTTGTTTAGAATTAATTTTAATGTTTTACTCTTTTAAATGATATAAAGATTAAAAATTGCACAACCGACGAGAGTCTGCAAAAGTTGTTAGTAGAAGAAAACATGATGGATATTTTGCAACTAATTCGCTACAGAGGAGTGCCTTCAAGAGAATTGTTACAATCTGTAGATAAAATTTTAAGGTAAGCATACACTCTTTGGCAAAAACAATGGAACCTTTGCTGTAATACTGCATGTTATGGTCTTTTACTCAATTGGCCCAGTAATGATCAACATATTTAAGATGGTTATATTTTGGAATTTCTCATGCCATTGAAATTACAAAATATTTGCATATACAATACCTACTGTACTATCTACCTAATATGCTGTAGGACCATTAGTGGATGATGCTGTATCCTGTAAAATGTATACGAATAGATATCCATTTCTTTGATATTACTATTTTTCTTTCATCAAAAAATAAAGGATATTCGTTTAGTTTCTGCTTTTTTTTTAGACCAATCGTTATGTATGATTTCTCAAGATATTTACCCATGTTAGATCAGCTTGCTGCTGGATTGAGTTCCTTTGGGGTGATGGATGCTTTGAAGGAAAATAGACTGATAATGGAGGCATTATTTGTTGCAAAACATTCCAAATATTATATGCCTACTACTGATCAATTCTTAGATGGAATTTATGCAGTATTTAGTGAAGATGGCAGCAATCGCAAAGATAAAGAAGTTGATGTCCACAAACTTTTCTGTGATTTCGTGCAGGATACTGATGGTTTGGAAGAACAAGGTAAAGCCACAAGCTGTACAACACGACCCAACACTACCAATATTTTTCGATGTAATAAGCAATTGGTTCCGACTTTCAATATGTTTAAATCTTGTAATAAATCCTCTTCTTTTAGAAACCAATGGTTTAAACACACTAGGTGAATTACACAAGTTCATTACAGGATGTGAGAAGATACCACCTTTAGGACTGCCAAAGCGTATATCAGTCAAATTTAAGCATGGTTGTATGGAGAGGTGTAAGCGTAGGCCGACTGCCTCAACATGTGATCTCAGCATTACCCTACCAGTCCACAATTATGAAAGCTACATCCAATTTAAAGAGTCAATAGATTCAGCACTTATTGAAGGGAAAGGATTTGGTTTGTTTTAATGCAAAACAAAGTTTCATCACATCTTTCAGGACATCTGAAATGGAATGCCAGTACTGAAAAGGACTCTATACTGTTCAAAACATTTTTAAACTGTTTCTTTATTGAAAGTGTTCATATTTTTGTTATGATACATATACAGTATGTGCAATCTCTCCAAGGCACATGCTTGTTTTCATCACCTAATTCAAGGGGTATTCCAACATTTTGATCAAAGGCATTTGTCATAGCATTGGTAGCAATATATACCGATAAACCTTGCTTGTATAAGCGACATGGACCATTTTTAACTTGTTTTTGTCTATAAAAGTAGCTTTTTTTTAATACTAAATCTCAAGCAAAAAAATTTCCCATGTGACTTTGATTTACAATAGAAATTAACAGCAAATCTTGTTGTTGAACCACTCATAGCAATAGTTTCGTGGCGTGATGGTCTTATATAGTGAGTGTTCCAGTATTCTTTCATCTTATCCAATGATGCTTGTATAACCCCTTGGAAACAAAACCATAGACACTCCCTGTGTAAAGTTCTTTCAAGGTCAAATGTACCATTATCTTGCAAATCCTTGAAAAAGTTGATCCACCAGCCAGCACATGATTTCCTGAAATGGGACCACCAGTTTTCTATTCTTTGATTTCTGGTAGATGTCCCATATTTATGGGCCTCCTCATCTGATTGAAAGTAACACTGGATAGCAGCAATATGTCCATTTTCTGTTCCATAGTCTGTACGGGTTAATAATGGACATCCTCTGTGCTCACTGACACAATCCAAATACAGTTTCGTTGGCTCTGTTGGAGAGTTGTTTGATCTGCAGACCTCCAACCATAACACCTTCCTGCTAAAGCCATCAATGGCTGCATGGATAGGAAAACCAAATGGTTTAATCTTATCATAACCTACATTGGAAAAAATCGTTAACAGGAATTTACTTGTATGGTGGCCCAGGAGTGCCAATTTATTTTAATTTACTATCCTAATTATTTATTTATTATAGTTTTTTTTTCTTTTTCTTTTTAAGTAATATATTTCTTTCACATTTATTTTTAAAAAAATATATTTTTAATACTCATCTTGGCCCATGAGTGCCACGAAAAAAAAAATTAAAACTAAGGTCATGGCCCAGGAGTGCCACTGCCAATTACTGCTGTTGACACAGTTTTGTGACCGTGGGCGCGCCGTAAACAAAACATGTGAGACAATATTTCGAAAAGGAAACATGCTGATCAGTCTGACAAATGGAAAGCTTTTTATAACAAGGTTTCGGGAAAACGAACAGGAAAAAAAGTGGATCAGGAGATTCTACTCTTGAGTTTCTTACTGTCCAACGCTTATCTGCTGAAGTTGAAGGTAAATGCCAAAAATACACTCACATAGGAGCGTTAACGATGGTACCCTTTGGCCAGGAACTCTCGATGGAGAATATAAAGAAAGCATGCTCGAGGCATTTTAATGTGTCGAAGTACATGGAATGTGATGTATTGGCAGGGGAAAGAGGCCCATCATACACCGACGTAAAACAAATAGCAAATTGGAAACAACTCCACGTCCGGTTTATTGAAAAAAGCGACAAGGAAACTGTAAACGTTGATGACGAAGAATCACGTGATTCACATCCTGAAAGGGCTGGTCTTTTATCACGGGGAGATGTAAGTCTATCCTCAGGCTTAGGTCTTTTCTCATCCCACTCTGTGAGAAAGGAATTTGTGCCCCCAATGCGCCATTCATCACCATGCAAATCGAAAGTTCCAGCATCAGTGCCACTCAGCGCTGTGATGAACTTTGGAAAATTCATTCCACCAAAACCAAGCAGGGGTCTGGTAACATTGCAGCTAGAATATTTCTCGGTGGATGATAAAAAGTGGCTTGATCCTTTTGATGCGCGGGTATCTCTTAGCAATGAGAAGTTTGCTAGTGGGGGTTTCAGAGATGCATTTGAGTGCATTGCATTGTCTGGCATTGATGGAAAATTTTTCTTGAAAAAGTATATAGAGGATAAAGTTCCTCAAATTCTTCAACATTTTGAGTCACTGGAAGTTCACACAAGGAAGGTGGTTCAAATGCATGCTTTGGCTCGTCATTTCACAAAGTGCTTGAGCAATGAAATAACCCCTGAATTTGGTGCTTCTTTCCTTTACAACAAGCTGTATTACAGTAAACTTGATGAGCAGTCCGTAACCATTGAACCATACTTTCATGGCAAATTCACCAAATACATCAACAACACTGGTGAAATTATTTTTGCTGATGGTAGTGATTTAGCAATGAAAGCTGAAACACTTTCTCATTACACCTATGAAAAGTCTAGGAAGCGACTCATGGTACTGGATATCCAAGGTGCTAGCTATTCACTCTGTGATCCAGAGATTGCCAGTACACAGTTCACAGATGATGAAGATAACATTCTCTTCTGCAATGGCAACTTGTCTAGAATGGCCATTGATGCATTCCTTTCACAGCATGTTTGCAACAAGTTCTGTGAACTTCTTTGCTTAGGCAAAAAGTGAGGTGAACATTTTAAACTGCTCTGACTGATATTGTACTAATGTTCAAATTGTTATGTTAGCTGTTCAGCATAGGTGCATGAATTCATTAATTTGTTGCATCAAGATAAACCCCTTTATATTGGCATTACAAACTGTTTGAAAGCATTGCTTTTTGTCCAACAATAGGTAGGACTGGTAATGATAATGCACTGTTGAAATTTTTAACTTGTTTTATTAAATGTTTGGGAAAGGTGAATACAGGTATATTAAATTTTATGCCTATGTTAACACAAAAAGTAAACGTCATATATTTAATAAATACAATATACTGAATCATTTAGGCAGATTTCTGCTTTCTCCCTGATTTACACTATATACTTAAGTTTATTATTAGGTACAAATTAAACCAAATTAAATCAATATTAGCCTTTAGATACAAATATGCATTGACTGCCTCTGCTGGCTCTATATCAACAACATTGGCAATGTGACGTTCACATTCATGTCGAAAATTATCTGTTAGATAGTCATCTGTTCCCTCCAAAACATTTGAAAGCTCTCCAACCTCTTGAAGTTGCTCCTCTGTAACAGGTAGACCATGTCTCTCACCACCATAATTCTCTGGGAAATGATAAATGTGTTCTGGAACACCAACTGGCAGTTCTTTGTCTCATTGATACCAACTTCGATGGTTGTTCCAAACTGATGTTCGAAATGTATCCAATTCTTTCTGCAGCACAGGAACATAAACAAAAGCTAACATATTCCTAAAGACAAAATTTCTAGTGAATTTCTTAGAATTCAATAAACACAGGGAAAAAATTGGTGCATTTAAACATATGTCAAGTGTTTCACTAAATATCAATATGATATGTTAAATAGTTTTTCTTTATAAGTTAACCAATGAAGAAAATAATCATTAGCCAGATCACAATATAATGGCAACGTAAGGCACACTGGGGAGCATCTTAATGATAAGACAAAATATTATGAAGTATATGTACCATATAAATGTTGCTATAATGAATTGATAGCATTGTTTACCTGTGAGTGTCATCATCACGGTCATATTCTCCTTCCTCTACAAGACTATTTAGTTGACGCTTGAAATATCTCTCCATTCTTTCCAAAAGCTCTCTCCACCATCGCTCTATTTTGTTTTGTGTGGAAGGGCCATAGATCACACTATCAGTAGCATCTGCCAAGTCTCCCTGCTGACTTCTCAGGTAAGAATGCATTGTTGCTAAAATGGTAGTCTCTCTTCCCTTGTCAACTCTGATCCGACTAGGCAACACTAAATGATGAAATATTAAA